GGGGGGGGGGGGGGGGGGGGGGGGGGGGGGGGGGGGGGGAAGAGCCAGGGAGGAAAATCCGAACGCCGGACTCTCAAGGACTCCGGCTAATTAGCTCTGGAGTCCTGAGGAGAAAAAGGACAAAGAGATTGGAAGAGGGAAGGAAGAGCAGGTCGGCTTCTCCGCTCCCCCCCCCACACCCCCGTTGCAGAAGGGCTTCAATTAGCCTGAAGAAAACTCAACACAACGCCTTCCCCCCCCCCAAATAATCCATGCTTTCTGGCTATTTATTTAGTTCCCTGCTGTTTCTGCTGCATTAGCTGGCCTCGCTCGGCAGGAAGGGGGCTCTCTCTTTCCCCAGAGCCCCCTCCCCGCCTTTGAGAAAGCTGAGAGCAAGGGCGGAGGGGAGGGGGATGAGCTCAGTTCCCCCCACCCCCCGTGGGAGGGGGGGGGAAGGAAAAGGGGGCCTTGGTGCATGATGTGTCTTCGGTCGGGGGGGGGCAGCTCTGGCGTCCCATCGACCTCAAGAGCAGCTCCGTGTGTTCCACACAGAAATCCTTCCCTCCACTCGGCCACGTCCCCTTCACAAACGGGTGTGGACACAAAGGGGCTTTTTTGGGGTGGGGTGAGGGGCTTATGGGAGGCAATTCAGGGGTTGCTGTCCTCTCAGCGCCTGCCACAAACTGTCACCTCAGCGGGAAGACCCATTCCACAACAGCAACGGGGAGGGGCACCCCCCGCCCCCGCTGCTCTCTCAGCCTGGCGGTTTTCTTGCCCGACGTTTCCCCTACCAAACTAGGGAACATCATCAGCGTAGAAGGGACTAGGGCCTGAAAGAGGAGGAGAAAGAGACTGCGCCGCAGAGTCAGCAGCGGAGGGTTCGCGGGTATTTTCAAATCTATCCCTGTCTCGGTGCTCTATCCCTACCTGCCTGAAGACCTCCATTGTAGTGCCAGTCCCTAAGCAGACAGTAGTGGCATCTCTCGATGAGTATAGACCAGGAGCTTTAACATCTGTTGTCATGAAATGCTTTTTGAGGGACGGGTGTCGAACTACATTAAGGCCGGTCTCCGCATCTACTTTGCACCCCTACCGATTTGCAGGTAAGAGGAACAGATCAACTGATGCTGTGCTGTCCAGACAGTTTAGTTAATGGGATTTGGGATAGTGAGTTAGGAATTGTGAGCTGTCCCCTTAAGGCAGGGGTGGGCAAACTACGGCCCGCGGGCCACATCCGGCCCGTTGGTCTGTCCAATCCGGCCCACCCCTGAAAAAAAATCGCTGGGCGTGGCGTATTGCCCTGCACTGCGTGGCCCCCAAAGCTGCAAAACAGTGCAGAGCACTCTCGGGGTAGGAAAGAAAAGAACTTTGCAAAGGACTCGGCTGGGAGTTTGAAATCACCTTCGAGTGCGACCTCTCCGAAGGTGAGTCCCTGCCGATCCCCCTTTTTTTCCGGGGCTTCCAGGCTTAAACTTTGCAAAGGCAAAGTTTGCAGGCAGGAGCATCTTCCCACCGAGGAGCAGGAAGGGTTCCGCCTGGCGGGCGGGCGGGCTGCTTGGAGAAGGAGGCTTTTTTTAATGGCCTTTTATAAAATTGGTTCGGCCCTCGAACGCAGATCTGATTTTCCATGTGGCCCCCGACAGAAATTAATTGCCCACCCCTGTCTTAAGGGAATGCATCATGGAAAATGGAGTTAAGGTACCCTGGGAAATGGTAGTCCATGTCACGTGGCCACATCTATAACCCTGATTGGTCACTAAATTGACCCTTGATGGGTCAGGGGAGGTTTCTTCGCTCTTGCCTGAATCTTTTACCATGCGGCCGCTTCAATCATCATGGGGTTGAGACCTTATGATCTTCCTACACCACAATTCAGATATGCAAAGGATTGGACATTCAAGAAGAACCTCGTCATCAATGTGAGTTGTCAGGATGCCTGATGAACCAACAAAAAAGACTTTGTATGGATGCTTTGTGGCGTTGATCTATCTGCTTTTGTACAGTATTTGTACGGGACAGGCAGAATAGTAGGAAGATAGTAAGGTCTCAACCCCATGATGATTGAAGTAGCCGCATGTCTATTGTTGTCTATGTTGTATTCAGCAACAGGGAACTTACATAAGGCTGTTTTTTTGTGAATTATAGTTCTACCTTTAACTCCATTCTACCCAATGGGTTGTTTCTTAAAATATCCAATTTGGGCAAAAATCACAAGATTTGTTTGTGGATAAAGGATTCTCTGACAGATTGGCCACAGTCAGTAAGGATGGGATCTCACCGTTCTTCTACTCTTGATACTAAGCACAGGAGCCCCCCCAGGGTTGTGTGCTAAGTCCCTTCCTTTATTCTTTGTACACACAACTGCACCCCATTGTATGACACCAACACAATTATTAAATTTGCAGATGACATGACAGGGGTGGGGCTCATTAATAAGGACAACGAGTCTGCTTATAGAAAGGAAGCACAAGGGCTGACACTGTGGGGTAAAGAAAATAACCTTACACTTAACACCAAAAAAACCCCTAAAGAACTTATAATTGACTTCTGGAGGAAGAGAGATGTACATTTACCGCGGTACATAAACGGTGAGGAGGTGAAGAGGGTGGGTGGTTTTAAATTCCTGGGCACTTCTGTCTCGGAGGACTATGAATGCAAAGGTGCTTGTGAAGAAGGCACGGAAGAGGCTGCACTTCCTGAGAAGGCTCAGGGAGGTAACTCCATCTAAGCGCCTCCTTCTGTCCTACTTCCGCAGCACCACTGAGAGTGTCCTGACATACGGCATCCTTGGACGGGATGGGAGCAGCTGTGGAGCGGACAAAAAAGGCTCTACAGAGAATCATTCAAACTGCCCAGAAGATCCTCGGGCTCCAGCTACCAGCCCTGGACGACACCTTCGCCTCTCGCTGTTTGAGGAAGTCGCACAACATTCTCAGCGACTCTTCCCATCCTGCTCACAATCTTTCTGAAGCTGTTGCCTTCTGTCAGGAACAGATACAGAACAATTAAAACTCGGACCACACGAGTTTCCTGAACAGCTTTTATCCCAGAGCTATAATGGCACTTAACAATGAACTTAAGGACCATCATCAGTGAGCTGGTCTGTTGTGTGGAGGCTTGTGTGTTTTTAGGAGGCGGGGAATTTTGGCAGGTGGGTGGGTGTTTGGGGATTATCATGTGTGTGTGCATGTTGAGTCTGGTCTCTGGGTGTTATGTGAATTTCATTGTATGTTTATACTTTGTTTATTCATACAATGACAATAAAGAATTCAATTCAATTCAAAAAGGGAAGGAGTGGAGGAGGAAGAGGAGGAGGATCGTGGAGTTATTCAGTGTCCTCTCTGAGCTTGGTTATGTTCTTGTACACGTTTTTGCTACCAAACTAGATAACATCATCAGTGCTAGAAGGGAGTGGGGGTTTATAGAGGAGGAGGAGGAGGAGGAGGAGGAGGAGGAGGAGGAGGA